GAAGCAAGGGATTTGGGGAGGAAAGGAAAAAATCCTGATACTCGTGGCAAAAGGGAGAGCTGATGATCCTGTGAACCCTAACTGGCATCCATAGTGTAACACCATCCGGAGCAAGGTGCTGGCAAGGAATAAATGGCAGATCAAATTCCAGTCTCAGTTGCAGTGGTAAAAAACAAGAGGCATTGCTCAGGATTTACAGCGGTGTAAGCATTCGGATCCTGTCAAACCATAAATCAGTCCTCGATTGCTTCCCACGAGTGGCCCAGCCCTGTCCTGTCCTGCCCGCGGGCGTTCGTCCCCACGTGGTCCCTGCGCTGCTCGGCCGCCTCCTTGCCGCAGCATCCTTTAAACCCAAACAGTTTCCATGGTGATGAGGAAAACAGTTTTAATTGCAGTTCACACTGGGTAGGGAAAAAAATATTTAGAACTAAGCAAAGCTGTACTTTTCAGGGCAGGCTGCCTGTCTCCCTGCCCGCAGCCTGTGGTGAGATAGCTTGGGAAAACCAGCCCTGTTCCTGGTGCTATCCTACATCAGCTCAATAATCACAATTTTTGATTTTTTTTTTTAGTAATTAAAGCTAGTATTTTAAGGCATTTTTAAGGATTTTAAATTAAGATGCTGGTATTTAAGGCAAAAGCAAGGTGGGGGGGTGGCAGGAGAAGGAGGTGGCGTGGGTGCAGACTGCTTCTCCTTTCCCTCTCCCCCCATGTCTAGTGGACTCTGGGGACACGCTTACGGTCACAGAGAGCTAAGGACGCCCTCCATGCTCAGCGTTCCTCCAGCCATGGGCATCCCTCCATCTCAAAGCACAGGCGAGCCCCTGAGACCTGCTGTTCCCAGGGGAGCTCTCGCTGGGCTGGGGGTGATTTTTGACACCGGGAAAGATCCCAGAGAAGCCCAAGTCCAGTTGGGAAAAGATGACTTGGGAACACTTCTCCTTGAAGCCGCTGAGCTCTCCTCGGGGTTGGGGGAAGCAGGACCAGCCTGAGTGCTCTGACCGGGATTTTTTCTGCACATACAACTGGATGGTCCTTGAGACAGGCAAGGAGAGATTTCAAATACCTTCCCATGGGGGCAGAGGTGCCCGATGGAAAGGCTTTTGTCGCATCCTCTAATTCCAAATATCATCTTAACTAACTCCTCTGTTGCCAGCCAGGTTTTGCAGCCTGGCTTTCGGCTGTTATGAATAGCGCACGGCGTGTAGCTTTGGGCTGCGCCGGCTATTCATAGCCCCTGGCAAACAGTGTTAAAAACACTTAGTCCTTCAGTTACCTCTTGCTCCCAGGCAGGTTGGGAAGTCAGGGACAACCATCCTTAGATGTCGCATCCTTAGATCCTCTGGCTGCTCTGCAAAGCCACGGGGATGTGCCATGGTGCAGGTCCGTGGCCTGAAGACCTCTCTACCTCCTTATTTACCCCAACCGAACTGAGCCATCATGGAGCTTGTTGGAAGTCCAGCCAGGGATCTGCCCTGTGGTTAATCCCCCTGCTTTCAGTAATGGCCATAAGGCCCTACTCACCTGGTTTTAGGGGGCAGCCAGCCCCTGGTTTGCGGCGTGAGGGAGGAGAGGATGCAGGGCGTGGGTATTTCTCTGCACACCCCCGCCTCGGGTCTGATTTGAGGTCGGTGGCGTTCAGGTCTCCTAGGTCGTCCCCAAAAAATTGTCTGGGTGTTTTGCCAGTGCAATCCCCAGACGCCCCTGATGCCACCAACTTGGGTCTCTGTCCTCACCATCATCTCCAGGGTGGTCCCAGTGGCAGAGCCGGTGGCATGGCATGCCAGTCTATTTCTGCAGCTGCATCGGTCACCGGCATTGCATTTTGCTTCAGCTGCAGCAGCAGTGGGGTCTCTCCCCGGGCTGTAGCCGCCAGCAGCGCCCCAACCCTGGCAGCGTCCCCAGCACAGCGGGGCATGGCATGCGGTCCTCTGTAGCATGGGACATGGGGCTGAGATTTGGCAATGCCTTTCTCCTGCTTGCAAGGATATAATCTCTGGAGGCTTTGTTTTGGAAGGTTTGTGCCCTCGCTTAGCTGGAGGAGATGGTGTTTTGGGAGATGGAGGCTTGCAAATGAGCTGTAGCGTTGTCTGAAAGCCAAAAAGTTGACTCTACCTTCTCTCCAAAGAGAGTTTGCACTCTGCGACTGAGGATTACACCTCTTTCTCGACATCAGAAATAGCATGATCATCCCTGCACCTCCTGGAGCTCGGCTCAGCTTTGCCTGGCTGAGCGTGGCAGGAGGATGTCACCCTCCTGGGCTGGGCTGTGGGGTGGGAGGTGGGTGGCACGGGGAGGGCAGCGCGGTCGTACTGGGCAGCAAAACAACCCCCCCCCAAGAAGCTTCACCATCAGCATGGGCTGAATTCCCCAGTGGGACCATGCTGGTGTGGTGCTAACATAATAATGCGTCTCTGCTTGCGGAGAGAGAGGAGAGAGAGAGTGCGCCAGATGCTGCTTTGGAGATGCAGTGGGACGAATATTTGCCGTGGCTGTGACAGGGAAGAGAACGCTCAGCCCCGGGCGTCAACACTGCTGCTCTCCAGTAGGATTGTGATCCCTTCTGACAAAGCATCGCAAGCAGCAGCCTGGGTCCAACTGGTCTGGTTTATCCGTATCCCAGCAAGTGGATCCCTTTGCTAGCCCTCTACGGTAGCTGGCAGTGCACCTGTAATGAGAAGGTCCTCCATGCCATGTGTCTTGGTGCTCTGCATGTGAAGACAGAAGCTGGATGGAGTCTTGCAGGACTGTTCTCTGAACACCACGAGACATGGCAACTCAGGACCCGCGCAGCTGGCAGGATGGACTCGGCCAGTGGTTGCCAGCTTGTGTCTATGGATGCCCAAGGGTCTATGAGATAAAGTGAAAGAAATTAAAGCACTCGGCTACAGTTGAGAGTTCGGCTTTGTTTTTAGTTGGTGGTTCATAAAACTATCGTGGTCAAGTAGTGCTTTGCATAAGCAAAGGGCAGAAAATCATCTCCTGAAGAGCATCCAGATTTGCTTTCCCTTGGCCAAGAGCTCAGCAGCCCTTGTTGTCACTTCTACACTTCTAGCTGTTGCTGAAAATATTTTCTTTTCCCTCCAGGCCAATCCTGCTCGCTCCCGCTGGGCTCTGGGGGTGTGCGGGGCTGGTGGGTGGCAATGCCCATGATGCCACCCTGCTCCTGCTGAGGATGCGATCCCACCCAGAGCAGGGTGGCTTTAATGAAGACAGGGGACATGAAAATAAAAGGGACAGGAGACCTAGGGTATCTTAAGCCACAGCTGCAGACCCCCCCATCAGGATGGATGGACCTCCTTCCACACCTGGACGGATGGTCGTTGCCCCACGGCTGCCTCCTCTCCCCCCTACGCTGCTTCTGGGGCTGTAGTCGCTCGGCTCCTCTCCTCGGGGCCATCCTCTCCCCAGCTGGTGCGCATGGAGCCGTCTGAGTGCTGAAATACAGATGCTGCCTAAGTGCAAAGTGTAATTAGAATTTATCCTTTCACTTGCTGACACCATTTTGCTCTGCTTACTTGCACGTCTTCACGTAATGATGGGAGCAGCTATTTATCAGCACGAAAGGGTGGTCTGAGCAGGGGAAGGGCTAAGCCGGCTGCTGTACGGCCCTTCAGTTTTAAAAATAGCTTTTATTTGCTTCTCTGTTAACTCTTTCCCTCTGGTTCCTGAAGATGCTTTAGCTCCTGAGATCTGCTAAAGCTGCTGATGAACGGGAAATGGTAATTTTGCACATTGGGATGCTGAGCAGAAGCTGCTTTTAGTAGCTCCAGGCACCCTGTTAATTAAATCACTGGACTCCGCAGGGCCTCCCTCCAGCGCTGCCGTGTGCCTATGGGCCGCCTGCATGAAAACCCAGCTGATGAAATGCAGAGAGGCTGCAGCGAGTAGCTGGGAAGCTGCTTATAAAATATTTCTTCCCCCAGGCAGGTTTTTAATTGGCTAGCTGGGTTTTCGTTAGCTCTGCTTCTCTAGGATTAGATGTGAGTAATTGGGATGAGGAAAAAAAATTGTATATACTTTTTTTTATGCATAGCCAATTTTAAAGCAGGTAGGATTTGAAACCCATGGTTATACCTGTCCTTCCAGAGGGTAGCTGGTTAGACCAGCACAGGGGCTGTCCTCTCTCTGCGGTGCCTCTCGCTCAGGGCTACTCCTTGTTTTCCAAATATTTGAAAAAAAACCCCAAACCTTAAAAAATGGACTTGCTGGCCATTGAGAGGTGGGATGGGTCGTGGTCCTGCAGACCTGCAAAGCGGGGTACTGCAGAGAGATGAGCTTCAAAAGCATGATGTTGGTTCGTATGCAAACCCCCCATTTTTTTAGGCAATTAAAAGGAGAATTTTTAGTAGATTCGATGTACTTAGTTCTGTCCCCTTTTGGATGAACCCGCCCAAGCTAAAGGAGGGTGCCCTGAAGGCTGGCAGCTGGGCGAGCTGCTCCGTGGCCCAGGATGGGTTTCCTGAAGGTCTTTGCCTAAAGGTGCCAGAGGGTTATTTGGGTCCGACCGGTATTTTCTAATAGCACCGGTCCAGCCGTGAAATCCTGCAAAAATTAACACAAACCAAAAAAGACCTTGCTTCTAGTCATTTTCTTCTGTAAATGAAAACTCCTTGTGCTTTTGGCTGTGAGTGAGCATTTAAAGTGTGCTCAAAGTGGCAAAACCTGATGGGAATTAAAAAAAACCAAACCCCACATATATTTTTATACCTATCTACCTACAATCTCAAAAAAAAACCCCTAGAGAATTCAAATAACTCAGATAACAATCTCAAATACAAGCTCAAATAACATATACACACAGCTATAATAGAAAGTACGTAATACTTTATATTATACAGGGCTGGGGGGGGGGGGAGGGGGCGTGCTA